CTCAGGACAGGGCAGGGAGGGACAGCTAGCCCTTCCGGGACAATGCACGTGCTCCCAAGAAGGGTGCGCCAGGCGCAGGGGCAGCCTTTGCAGACAGCAGACAGCTGGCGCCTCTCCGCTGCCTAATGAGAATGCTCTGGCTGGAGACAGGCAAGACAGTGTCCTCATGTGTCGCAGGTAATAAGAATCACAATTAGGCCTCGGGGACCTGTTCATTCCCAAGATGACTCATTTGCTCCACTCCTGATGGCTGGGCCTCACTGGCGCTCAGGCCTCGAAGACCTAACAGGAAACCACGACCTCATCTGGCACCAATCTGTCCCCGCCCACACCCGCAGCTCGTGCTGCTCTTGGCAATCAGCCCCCAGGAAAGCAAGCAGCACCTGTGATCACTGTACAAATTGGGCCAAGCGTGGCCCCCGCAGGCACACACGGAGGGCTGTGTCTTGTCATCAGGAAGAGACTAACAGGGTACTCTGCAGGGCACCCTCCCCCCTGGGGGGAGTCTTCATCCCACAGGTCAGATCTGCATGGGGAGCTCCCATGTGTGTTCATCCGTCTTGAGCAGAAGTGACACTGGCACCCTTGGCCAGAGCTATGGCCCAGAGCTGGTTGGAAGACAGATAGCAAAAGGACCATGTGCAGCTGTCTCTACCCCAGCTCTGGTGCCCTGTGTCCCCAGGTCCCCAAGGTCTCCCTCCTTCTTCTGGGGTAGGAAGTACCCTGAGAAATGGTTTCTGTGGGAGATACTGGCCAGGTGGAAGATGGCAGGTAGACTTGGAGTGGAGGAACTGACCCCATCTGGGAAGGAGGTCGGTCACACCCGCCTAATCCAGAGGGCTGGCCTTGTGAGAAAGCCAGGGAGCTCTTGGAAAGGATGCAACCGTCTGGGTGTCTTTTGAAGGAAAGAAGTGCATCTGGGTTATTGTTGTCTTCTTCCAGGGACCAGCAGAAGAGTCCAGCATCCAGTCCTTAATGCAGAGCTGTGAGAATTTTTAAGATCAATCCTCTGACCACAGACCTGTGTCCCACCTCCCACTAGATGGTCACTTGAACTTATCAGATGGAGCCTTCATTGCTCTCGCTCTAGAAACCAGGATTTTCTGTCTGTCCATCCATCTGCCCACTCATGAATCTATTCATCAATCCATCCACTCACCCACTCATCCATGCATGCATCCATATGTCTATCTGTCCATCCATCCATCCACCCACTTACCCACACACCCAGGGATTTATCCATCCATCCATCCATCCATCCATCCATCCATCCATCCATCCATCCATCCATCCATTTATCCATTCATCCTTCCATTCATCCACCCATCCACCCACCCACCCATCCATCCATCGACCCACCCACCAATCCATCCATCCATCCACCCACCCATCCACCCATGCATCCATCCATCCATCCATTCATCCTTCTATACACCCATCCACCAACCCACCAATCCATCCATCCATCCATCCATCCATCCATCCATCCATCCA